GGTCCTTACAGATATCGTGTGGATTACGCCGTAGATTTCTATAATCAAGACTCGTTGCTTGTACTGAACAATAAAGTGACAAATACTAGGTTTGAACCTAAAAATCTCATGGTAAGTGATACCACAAAGTTCAAGGTCCTTGTCACTGCACCGTCTTCTAGATAACAAGAAATAAATGAGAAATAAGAAAAGAAAACCTTACCGATCAAAGGGATTTTTTAAAAAAGAATTGAAAATGTAAAAACTAATTAAAAAAATCTATAATTATTTTTAAAAATATTTATAGCTTAATTTGATGATTCTTTTGAAAAAAGTTCTCTTCTAAAACAATATGTTTGGACCAAAATCAATGTATTATGTTATATTATGTGAGTACTACTTGTAAGAATTTTCCTTTACAAGAACTACATATTGAATTTATGTTGTGTGTAATATATCTATATATTAGAGTGGGTCAACAAGTATTGCCTTTGGTCAAACAATGGAGTCGAAATTGTTGACTTTATGAACGGTGGCGATCGGGCAAAGTCATTTACATTTATAATATAATTTGTCCCCAATAGCCCACTTGGATGACCCTCTTTGATTTTCTAACACGTGAGTTAAGTCAAAAGTAATCAATTTATTATTATTATTTTCTAATTTTAAGTCAAAAGTATAGCTATTAAGTATTACTAACATTTATATTTTATTTTATTTTCATATCTACATTTGTGAACGTTATATTTATTTAAACAAAAATTATTGAATTATAGTTAAATATAATATCTTCCAAACTTTAAAAAATCAAGTCTATATTTAATTATCTCACAAACCACAAACACGTGCTAAGCAAATTAAGATTTTTCAATGGGTTTAACAAATTTGTGGGCGAACATTTTTAAACTTAATCAATTGACTTTTCAATGTTAAAGTTAAGACTCTTTGACTTTTTCGTATAAATCATGTCAAAATATTCATTAAGCTATAATTCATTGGCTTTTAAAAGAAACACCCTTGAATGGATATAAAGCTAGGTTATTATTTTAAAAAAAAATCCAATTCGAAATGGTCCAAACCTATGTGTTGTGCCAATCAAGCTAAGAAGCTAGATATTTTGCCTAGTTTAATTAGAATGAATATTGATAAAATGTACCAAAAAAAAATATAGAACAAGAAGGAAAAAAGTGTACTTGTTGAACTAATAAAGAAGGAAGAAAATGGTTAGATTGCAAGTTTAATCTCTATGATTGCATTTAATAAGTTGTTCATGAACTTTAAAAATGTTTTGGTGCCTTATTAAGTCTCTAAATTTTTAATTTTTCGTCATCTAATAGATACTTAACTTTTTAAAGTTTATAATTCCATCTAAACTTTCAATTTTATGTATCTAATAGAATTCCTAACTTATTTGACACTTTTTAAAATTTATGGGAGTAGTTTCTAATAATTAAGATCATACCTAGATAGTGACATCTATTTGGATCGAAGAAGTTGGATTGACACTTCTCATATTTGTCACCTACTTCATGTTTTTCTAAAAAATACCTATTACCATATATCCACTTTTAATTCATTTTTGTTTTTTTTAACAATATAATACGGCTCGAACATGTGTTATATAATATGTTTTTTTTTGGGTTAAAATATACTGTTAGGTCTATAAGATTAACCTAATATATATAGAAAATAAAAATCCGTATTCAAAACTATTCATGTTTTAATAACATTTGAATTATGGTCCTACAAAAGTTGTTAATACCTATTCTAGTTTTTTTTTTCCTTGAAAAATTACAATCATGCAATCATATATTCACTGTAGGAGCTAGGCACAATGATATCTTAAAATGAATTTATATATACGTTGTGGGGAAAAATCGAAAGCAAGACGGCTCGCTCTCTCTTGTTAGGACACGTAAGCATAGACTACAACTCTACCTTCTACCGAGCCGAGGAGGAAAGACTTATTATGTGGTGCAAAGCAGTGCTTAACTAGCCCAACTTTTACCTAGGGCAAAGTTCATTCCACAAATATCCACTGACATTTAATGAAATGACAATTCTGTTGACAGTATATATGTTTATATGACTGACAGAAGATTTGTTTGTTGCAAGACATTTTTCTTTTAATAATTCAACAACATGTAAGAATGGAAATTCAAACCTCCTACTTTTCTCATGTCTTAACCAATTGAGTTATATCAAAGTTGTAGCATATCAAGTGATCTCCTATTGATTTGATTATTTTAACAAATAAATCAGTTAATTGGTTGGACAATCCAAGAGGTTGTTGGTGAGACGGAGGAAATGAAATCAAAATAAAACTGAAACCAATTAGTGTCAATAAATTAAAATTTTCATATATATATATTGGCATCAACAAAACGACAACTTTGATAATCAAACTTGTAAAACTAATTACAATACTACATGAACCAGCTGGGCCTTATTCTCGTCTAGCTAGCAAGATTATTACACATTAATAACTAGTTTATGATCCCTGGGCATCAACAATGGGGTAAATTTCATATCTAAAATTACAACTCCCACCCACCACTCTTCCACCAATTCTAGCATCACAGCAACTCGAAAGCCCTCCAATGGCGTCCTCAAGGCACTTCCTACAAGCAGCCGCCGACAGGTCCCTAGTGCACTGAACCAGCCCGTACAATTTCTTCTGAAACAGCTCAATCGCCGCTTCCCCGATCGCGTACAGCTTCGGCGTGGCAACGACTTTTTCAGCCAGCCCCGTCAGCAGCCGCTTCACTTGGTCGTTAAACGCCGTCGCATTGCTGCTGTCCACGCTCTGGACGTTGATGAGAGAGAATTGGTTTCTGTTGTCGATCTTGCCGAAGAATTTGGGGTTGGAGTATTTGAGGAGGCAGAAATCGTACCATATGGCCGCGCCTTTCCTGTAGGGGCACCGCACTTGGATCTCTTGGGCGGCCGTGGTGACGCAGTTTTTGCAGTCGGCGGGGGAGACGTCGCCGCGGCAGAGGGCGAGCCCGTTGACTTGGTTTTGTGGGTCTTTGCCGGCGGAGGCGAGGGCGAAGCCGGAGGGAGGGGCAGTGGTGGTCAATTGGTCGAAGGCTTGGTTCAAGTTGGAAGCGTAGGGGGTGCCGGCGGTGAAGTTGTCGAAGCTTATGCATATATGGTTGAGAAATGAGCTCTCGGTGATGATATCTGAACCGCTGAGGGCTGGTGGGGAGAGAAGAAAGAAGAGGGATAGAAGAAGAGATCGGAAAATGGTGGATTTTGGATGCCTCATGGTTGGTTTATTGGGTGTGGATTGTTTCCCAAAAGGATCCATTATATATATATATATGTGAAAAGATGATGAAGTTTTTCTCCCTATCTTTTCTCTCTCAAAATAATTTTTTTTTTTTTAATTTAAACTAGTAAAATACGGCTAGCTCTTAAAATCAATATTGATTTTTGAAGAAAGGAAACTCGGTGCCTCACTTGAGGTGGAGACTCGAGGTTTTTATTTAATTTGGATTAACTTTCATTTGGTATTTGTTGAGAATAAAAACCGAGCGAGAGACGTGTGAGGCTCGAGTAGTGATAGTTGATAGTGGGGACCAAACCTCTTGCAGAGGTACAACCGATGAAAGGTGCGACACAGGAATCGGCAGAGACGTACAGGTTGGACACGACAAACCTTGTTGTAGTACCTATACGATAGAGTGACAGGTGACGGGATCACTACCTCACGTCAAGAATGTCTTCTAACAGTCTGTCAGAACTCGTACGATAGTGAGCCTCACCACGTTGCATGCCAAGCATCTACCTAGTCGACCACAACACCTATAAAAAGGACGTAACACCATGACCATAGGATAAGTGAAAAAGCTATCACTAAACTACCTAAGGTACTGATCACTATTCTTTCTTTTCTCTGATATTAAAAAGATGTAGTTATCTTTTTTTGAAATTATTAGGATGGTGAAAATTCCAACCCTAGTTTGGGAGATTTACGAATGTTAATGCTACAATTGGTTTTGCGTCAATTCCTTCCCCATTTCGACTCTTACTTCCACTTATTTCTACTATCAAACAATAAAGAGAGCATATATATAATTTTTTGTTCATCCCTAAACTATATGATTTTTTATTGAATTAGTTCATACGAAATAATTGATCGCTTCATGCATTTTCCAGATTGAGTTATGTTGTAAAATATGGTTGTTGAGAGATAAACCCGAGCAGGTAAGGTGTCGAGCGTTGGGGGTAACAATAATGCATGGGACCGCAGAAGATCGAAATATACGCTGCAAGTGCGTACGGGCGCATCACCACTAGAGTTGTACTGGAAGCACGTTCCAAGCCGTAGCCCGCAACCTGCAGATGGGGAGCATAAACTAGCAAGCGGAGGTGTCACCCACCAAGCGTCAAGGATGTCCGTCCTCACTTGTCAGAATCATGTACAGTCTGACACGCTCCTGCGCCCAAAAACGTCATTCTTCCTGGTCGACCACCCGCACCTATAAGAGGGGAAGGACCTCATCAGTACCAAGTAAGTGAGAAAATCTGTTACTAAAACCCATAAGGTGTCTAACTCTTTTCATTTACTCCGATTAGTGACTTGATAGTCGGAGTTTGTTAGGCACTGCATCCATGTCGAATTTTCTAGTTGCAGACTCATTTGTTCTTCGACGACGTACAATTTTGGGAGACACATTGACCTCACCAAAACTCACTGTCAACAATGGTTATTTATAAACTTATTTAGAAGGTATGGTACTTTTTATTTTTAAAAAGTATAGAATATATTACAAGAGCCATGTTTGAGTAAAGTGAAATGTATACTATACCATTTATAAATTTTAGATTTTTTCAATTTTTAGAACTATCAAATTGAATTTATGTAGTTTTTTTTCTTTTTTCTTTTCTTTGGTAAAATTACCATCGCGAACAAAAATATGAATTTACATGTTTTTCAAAAAATAAAAAATAAAATTATAAGTGGGTGTGGGTCACAACAATAAGCATCGCGCAATTGGTCAAATAATAGAGCCGAAATCGTTGACTTTTGTTATTGGTGTTCCCAATTATAATGAAGAGTAATTGGGCATACTCTTCCACAGGATCAGTCATTTTCATGAATAGTACAATAATGCCCTCTATGCCTTTCTATGACCACTTGGATCACACCACACTCGTCTACATGTATGATTTTAGAAAGGAAAATACTTCGCTTTCTAGCCCTTAATAAAAATTTTACAAATAAAAAATATTTATTTTCTACATTTTTCTCTCCAACTTATAAAAAATTTAATGCTTGGGATACTAATCAATAAAACATTTGAGCATTTTTCATAATTTTAAGGGAGCTTTAATTCAAAAAAATTGAATTTTAAAGTTATATCTATCATTAAAAAGTCAAAGAATTGAATCTTCATGTAGGGCTGACAAAATTTTTCGTGAATATGAGTACTTGAAGGCACCGCTCCATATGGAGTGAATAATCTCCATGGAAACTTCTCTAGATATTTTTTCCAAGATCTTTAATCCACGGATGGAATTTCTAAGAATCCAACTTCAAATCCTCAAATCCCCAAATCAGTCAATGGGATGGGATGAAGATTAGAAAGGAAGGACATACCTTAATTATGTTGGGTAAATATACGTTGTATATGTAAACTGAATAATACTAACAACAAGTTACAACGTAACTGCCTATAAACAATTATAGATCTTGACAACTTGATGAACACCAAAACTTGATCAAAATAGTCGAGGCACGCTTCAATAGCGCTGATATGTAGATAATTATTCACTCTGTACAAGTTGCTAGCAGACTACAGCGATCGTCTTAGCATGATACAACAACTAACTCCAGTAGAACTGCAACCTCGAACTACTCGAATCTAGTAGAACTCTTAGACACTTGCTCTCAACACAAATAAGAACAACAACTCGAGAGTAGAGAGAACTCTTGAGAGAGAAGGAAGAACTCAAAATGAGAAATGCTTGTATATCTCAAAATGTGAAGGAAAAAAACAACTATATATAGTTGTCTAAATGTATAACATCTCCCAAAAACTTAAACACATATAAAGTTTCAGTTGTAACTTTAACTAAATAAAGGAAAAAACTTCTTATTCAAAAGATAACTTCATCTTTAACAAACATGTAATTTTAATATATTTAATGTTACATGACACAAAAGTTGAAACATAAAGAATTTGTTACACAATCAAATTCTTAATACACAAATTTAATTTTCGGATGTTAAATTTGTATATTCAACGGTTTTCTCACTTTCTTTCACATATTAAACATACAACAAATTATTCTACACTATGGATTGGGTAACCTTAAAAAAAACTACGAAGTTATAAAGTTCACTTTTTAGGTTGGATACTAACATTTTAAATTATAAGTCTACCCACCAAATATATAGGTTTATGCACATCTATATTTTTTAACTTTTTCGGTTGTAGTCAACATGAGCTTACTAATTAGCACATGTCTCTCACTAAGAGGTCATGAGTTTGACTCCTCCCACTCTTATTTGTCATACAAAAAAAAAAACTTAGCTCAATTGTATACTCCAAATACCTGCTATATTCGTAAAAGATCATGAGTTCGAGATCATGAGTTCGAATCTTCGTCTGAATTTGTTGCACTAAAAAAATAAGTTTTGTATTAAAAAAAATGTTATATTAAAAAAATTTGAATGGGAGAAGCTTAGGTTTTTTTTTTCCTCCCTTTTGTCCAATTGGAAATTGTCTAAACCATTTTATGTCAATCAAGTCGAGAGAAACGAAGTCAATCTTCTAGAAGGAAATTGAAATAAAAATATCTACTTTTATTTATTTCAGAGTGGTTCATTAATCCGATGATATGTTAGATGCGTCAAGGATCCCACGTCGAAGGGACTTAACAATTTTTATAAAATACAGTACTACACTTTCATCACAATTGATTTTGAGATAGAACTTATAAATATTAAGAAGCTTTTTGGAGCTAAAAAAACCTCAAACTTTTTTCTGAATACCCCTTATAATCATATGATATTGTCCATTTTGGACGTAACTCTCACGATTTTGCTTTGAATTTCACCGAATTTCACCAAAAAATTTCATAAGAATAATGAAGATGTTCTCCCATTCTTTTAATACTTATGATTTCCCAACACATTTCTTTAATTTTTATAGCCAAGCTCAAAATAATTCATATTTATTATTATAATTAAAGAAAAAAATACATTTTATCATAAAATAGTACTATCTATGTATATATATACACACAAAGATACATACATAGACATATACAGATACATATACATATACAATTTTATCATTTCTAGTCCTCAATAGTATGACATTATCAACTTTAAGCATAAGCTCCGGCCATGACTTTGCATTTCACTCAAAAATCTTCATAACCAATGAAGATATTGTCACATTTTTGCATACATATGACCCCTTAGTCGATGTATAAGACTATGTCGCATTCCCAACAGATTACTTTTAATTTTCAACTCCCACCCACACCATAGATTTCATAGCTAGAAAACCTGAACACAATTCATATTTATTACTATAATTAAAGGGAAAAAAATACATTTATCATAAAATAGTACTATAAAAACAAGTTTTATTATCATTTCTGGTCCTTAACAAAGGGGTAAACTTCATATCTGAAGTTACAACTCCCACCAATGACTCTTCCACCAATTTTGGCATCACAACATTTGGGAAGCTCAGCAATGGCATCATCCACACACTTCTTGCACGCACCACTCGACAAATCTCTCGTGCACTGAACCAACCCATAAACCTTTTTCGAGCCCTCCATTTCCACTTCCCCAACCGCATACAAATTTGGCGTCGCCTCAACTTTCTCAGACAGACCCATCAGCAACTTCCTCACTTCCTCATTAAACGACGCCGCATTCTCCGCCTCCTCCACGTTCCACATGTACAGCCTCGCCCCATTGTCAATCTTCCCAAAGAATTTGGCGTTGGAGTATCTGAGCAGGCAAAAATCATACCATATGGCGCCCCCTTTGCCATAAGGGCACAGCTGCTGGATCTCGTGACCGGCCGTGGCGATGCATCCTGCACAATCTGCAGGCGATACGTCGCCGCGGCAGAGGGCGAGGGCGTCGACTTGGGATTGCAGGTCGTGGCCGATCGAGGCGAGGGCGAAGCCGGAGGGAGGGGTAGTGGAGGCCAAATTGTAGAAGGCTTGTTTCAAGTTTAAAGCGTAGGGGGAATCATGAGTGAAGTTTTGGGAGGTGGAGCATGTGTGGAAGAGAAGTGAATTTTGATCGCAAAAGGCTGGTGGGGAGAGGAGAAAGAGGCATCGGAGAGTGAGGAACAAGGTGTATGATATTTTTGAATGCATTTTCATGGTTAAGTGAGCAGATTTTGAGATGTTTTGGTGGGTTGGGATTTGTTTCTTCAAAGTGTCCAATATATATAGAGGGTTTCTTACATATTCTTGGACCTCTTCTCTGATCTCTCTTGTGTATTTGTAATTATTTTAATGGAAATTAGAAAAGTATTCTTGTGTAGCACTTCAAAGAAACTCAAATTTAGAATAATGTAGGTGTGTTGATGTAGCTGGTAAAGTTTTAGACAATTTCATTTCATGCAACTTTTTGGTTTAGCTAGTCTCTAACCTAGAAACAACTATGAAATTAGTCTTGGTTTATTTTATTTATTTTTCCTAGTTAACAATAACATGTTGGTTGGGCCGAGTTGAGATTCAATCTAACCTGGTTTTTAAATATCTTAACTAGCTAGTTTAAGTTGACCATCTATTTTAGTCTCATGATCATTTTGATTTTAATCATAAATTTCAGTATAATACTATACTCATATCAATAAACCTTTTTTGAAATATAGTTTGCGATCGAACAGGAAACTAAAATGGTCAAAAACTAAAGATACGCGGATTAAATTAGTCGAAATATAATTGGTTTTAAACTTAAAATTAACTACCACTAAAAAACAGTTTTAAAGAAGATTACAACTGAGTCTGAGTCAAAAGAATGTGGATTTTGGTCAAATGATGTATATGGTGGAAATTGTTGACTTTACTCATTGCTATCCAGAATGGAAATTGAACAGTAATAATAATTGGTCATACTTTTCTAAACCACTAGTGTCATTCTCAACAACAATATGTGCTCTATAATTTTTCCAGCCCACTTGGATGGACGCACCAATAATTTTTATCTATTTAGGGTTAAAAATTTTGAGTCTGTTAAATTAAAATTTTGTTTCATCTTACAAGCATAGCTTATGAAAACTTTTCTTTTATCCTACTTACCAACTTTTTCTTTCATAATTGCATTAAATCGGACGCATTCAATTAATGGTCCTTTTTCATATTTAGAAGATTAAACCTCTTTGATTTGTTCGTATTAAAAGATTCAACACAAAAAAGACTTTTTTCGGCATCAATTATTCTTTATTACCGAACCATGTCAAAATATCAATTTATAATAGTCAATCTTGTAGAAGTTGCAAGGAGTGCAAACGAAGTCCCAACAAAGGATTGATCTATGGTATATAGGGTGATCGAGGACAATTATCTATGGTATGAGTAAAACTAAAAGTAAAGTCAGAGAATTATGTTAAAAACGGACAATATCATACCATATTATAGAGATACTTTTTTTAATTAGTACAGCTTGTACGGTAGGGTTTTGAGCTCATGATATTTCATATCCTGATTAAGAAAAAGAACTTAAAATTAAGTAGATAGATCTTTGCGTTATTTGGAATTGGTGCCCATCATGTTAAGAGGAGTTCGAGTCAACTTTCCAGAAGAAATTTGAAAATATCCCACTTTTATTTAAGAATAATAATCCTTAATCTCGATGACGACATGTCGGCGGTAAAATATTAATTGTAAAAAGAGAGCTGAAATGTCTCCCGCCAACCACGTCAACATTCTAGATTATAATCTATAGATCCCTCGGTAAAATTAAGAAAATATGGAAGAAAATAATATAGCTAAACAATTAACTCAAAGTCTTTAATTGTAGAGAAAAATGTCGTTCCCGTCTCGCCATGGATCATGCACAAGAATTATATCTTTGTATGGAAGCCATAAGAAGTTCAAGATACAATGCTCGGAGGAAGTTGTAGATAAGAGTGATGGAGAAAACGATATAATGTCACGTATGTTAGACTTAACCCTTTATAATACATACTTCTAATCCATATGAGATTATATGTATTTGATCTCTATTAGTATATTGTCATTTTTCACCCATTAAACTACCCAAAGGCCAAATGAATGGATTTGATGAGGAGTTTGCAATTTTAATTTATATGTAATTTATTAGATTCTAACTTTTGAGCAAAGATAATTAATGGTTAATCCTAGAAGAAAAGTATGTACACTGAAGCTGACCATTTCGTTTTCTTGCAAAATCTGACAGATTATTTCAATTTTATAAAAGTCGATGAATTATTTTGTTGAACTTTGATTGTCTCAAATTCGACTGGTTCTTAATTTTCCTTGCAGGCAATGGAGATATCGACGAAATTTAGGTGAATCAACCTACTTTAAACTCTTATGAATGAGGAATTGTTTTATTTAATTATATTTTAACTAGATGCAGAAATAATGAAATCTTAGGTACTCATTAGGTTGTAGTTTCATCTTCTTCATGGTTTGATGGAATAACAGCCAAAATGAATTTAACTTAACAGTAATTGACATATATCTCTAACTAAGAGGTTGCGAGTTCGATCCCCCACCCCTACATGTTGAACTTGAAAAAAAAAAGGTTTAACCAATAACATGAGGTATGTGATTAACATTTCAAATTCAAGGTATTAAAATAAAGTAGTTGTTCGATGTAGGAATGCCTAAGTCAAGATACATAAGCCGCGCGGTTAATAAAAAGCCTATATTTATATTCCTATATAATATTGCTAAAAACATTAAGTTTCATTAATTAGTTATATTTTTTTAATCTAAATTTCCGTATACTATAATTAATGAAAAAAATTCGCCAAACTAAAATAGTATAAAATTAGGTTTAAATACTATTTTAGTCATGTAATCCCATTTAGTTTATTTTGATTACTGTACTTTTAAAATGTGTCTGTAAAATGTTCATTTTGATCTATGTACTTTCTGATTTTTATTCATTGTATTTTCAAAACATCTATTTTAACTCTTATTTGAAAAACATTAAATCATTCAATACACATTTATGAGCTACATTTTTAAAAAAAAAATTAGAATGAAGTGTCATGTTCAAATTTTGATCGAAATAAATGAGATAGAAATAAATAAAAATGAAGAACAAAAATACAATTATCAAAACGAACCTTTCGAAAACATAGAAACTAAAATAAACAAAAATTGAAAGTATAAGAATCAACATAGATGTCTAAAAATATCAGAGTCAAAATGAACCAAAGTCTATAGTACAAAAACCAAAATAGTATTTGAACCTTTCGAAACTAAAATAAACAAAAATTGAAAGTATAAGAATCAACATAGATGTTAAAAGTATCAAGGTCAACATGAACCACGACAGTACCAAAACCAATAACCAAAATAGTATTTGAACCTGAAAACTAAACGGGTTGGTTTTTAGCAAGGAATCAAATTAAATCAATGCTATTCTGTATTGGTCAAAAGTTGAGCCAACTAACCAATAAATATTTTCATTACGTATCACCATGCTTTACAGATAAAATAAAGAAATTTCACTTGGAACATTCTGTCTACTAAAGTAAAGTGCAACCTACTAACTTCAAAAAGATGTGAGCCTGCGGCATTTTATTGGAAAAAGATTAGAATTTCTTCCAGCACAAGTGATCTTGATGCGTTTTTAGCCTTCAAAATTGCGCATGATACATTCTTATTAGTGTTAGAAGAAAAGTTATACAGGAGGAATAATTACATGGTTAACCAGAAAACAACTTCATCCTGCTCCTGCCTTTCACTAACTATTCATTCAAACCAGCCAACCAGTGAAGGCCAGCTTCTCAATTTGAACAGAAAGTGCAGCTAGCTTCGTACCTCAGAAAATCAACCTGATCAAGGAACCAGAAACTCGAAACTGTTATCCTTTCGAGTACATCTCCAATTAGACTAGGATGCAGGCCCCTAACGCCAACTTTCTCCCTCGCCTGGGATCACATTTAGGAAGAAGAGAAATCTGTTAGAAACTTAGATGCAGTGCATTGACGAGACAAATATAACTGCCTAAGCTTTCATTTTCTGAAAATAAGAAAGTTCAAGCTCTCGAAAGTATACAGTGTCAACACATCTCTACTCCACCAATGCAGTCAAATGGGGCAGAGGAGGTAGTAATTGTCACTATTTCTCAAAGAGTACAGATTGCAATAATGAACAGGAGGTCCCTATCTAGTTTTGCTAGGCAGTCTTATTAAATAAAATAAAGGAATAGAATGGCTAAATCCTTGGAGTTCAAATAACACTAGTATTTTTATGAACTAGCTAGGGAGTGGTGAGCATTATTCAGTAAGAAAATATAAGATTTTGTATTGTATATATTGCAGTTCAGAAGAAAGAAATTTTTAACAGCTACAGAGGAATTCATACCAACATACTTAGACAGTTTCCAGAATACAGCTCGAAAGAATATTCATGTCCAGAATGTTCAAATTAAGCACTCGTCTCAGAGTTGTATGGTATTTGTTATAAGGGTCATATTAGCATATTAATGCGTTGGAAATTATTTTTCTTAGATCAGCCACCTTAAATTTAATTCCATTAACAATAGCTTCCCATCAGCACAGGGACAAAAACACAAAGTTACCTTAAATTCTGAAGACACTGAACGGCAAAGTCCAAATAGCTTTAAACTGCTCAAGGAACCATTAGTTAACTTTAACTTTTATATAACTCTTTTTCCTTCCCAAACAAACCAACAAAAATTGCTAGAAGTACATAGATATTAATTCATCAACTCCACATTGTCTAATTTCAAGAAGCATCGATTCCTTGGAATAGGAAATGACATCACAGCATTGACGGCGTGGGGCCTTCATCTGAAACAGGGGAAATGTCAGTAAGAAATATTAAATCATAAGGCCAATTATAAAGATTACAACTGTAATATATGAAAATGAAAAACCAGTGAAATACAGTTAATAAAACCTCTTCCACATCAAGTTCCAACTTCTGGGAGAACACTCGAATCTGTCTCAAATTCTTAATTGCATCAGAGGCTCGACAACCAGTGACCATCTTCCTAGTATAGTTAGTCAAGACGTTATTTTTACTAGATCTCAAATTCTGCATATAGAAGATATTTCGTTTACACGGGTCTTTAGGGTAGTCTCTCGTGTTAAACAGATACCGATTCGCATCAATGGTGGCAGCCCTTCTCCATGACATAAAAGTTCTTGGCAGTGAAAGTAGATCGGGGAGAAGCCGATTGCCTTCAAAGACCTGAATAGCAAAACCCCACGATACTGACATAGTCAATGAATGTGAACGGTCATAGCACACAATTTGTTGGAAAATCCTGCCAGGATCCACATTCACTGCTTCAAAAAGATGGTTCAGGGCCCTAGTGTTATTCATGGTTGGGAATATCGGATCCGTGGCATCCAAGTGATGAAGGGAAACTATCGGTGACAATGCATGTGCAGATAGAAATCCAAACAGATTTCCCCGCATATCGACCTGAAGAAGATATGCAAATCAAATAAGCATATTGGCAGCCAACCTAATTAGGTTCTAAAATATTTGCTGCAATTTCAGCAAGCTGGCCTGAAGAAATGACTACAAACTATACTGATTTGAGTGAAGTGATGTCATTTGAGAAATTTCACAAAATTATTGAAATGAAATACTTAAAACTCTCAAATTTTACCTGATGAAATCCAGGTTCATGAGTTAATCCAACTCCAAGCTCCGCCAAGCACGACCATATTCTAGCATCACTGCCGTACAAGTGCCCGTATCTAGTCAAGCATGAGTCCAAAACCCCAGCCAAAACCCTAGCTAGCGAATGGCTGATCGCAAACCCTCCGCCGCCAAATGCCATTTCGAACGAGTTGTTCAAGTTCTGTCCATAGTTCTCCGAATTGCTCCCAATATAAAACCACCGCTCATGGTCGTATTTCCCCAATGTTTTGACCAGATTGTTCACGAAGAACAATGTGTCATCGTCACCAAACACGTACCACCGCACGTCTGGTTCATCGCGTTCGACAACTTCCTTCACCACCCGCGCCACTCTGATCGCCGATCGGAGACCTCCACGGAAAGTGTAGGGGAACCTGGAGGTGTCATTGGAAACAATCACCGGCGGAACGGATGGATCAGCAGAGGCGAAATCAGGCGCAATGCGATCAACGAAGGCGAAAGCACGCGTCGAATTCGGACGGTACCAGAGGCGAACATACGGCTTGCGGCGGGACCAGGACGCAGAAGAGGAAGCAATCGCGAAGAGAACATGGCGGCGCGTGGTGGGAGAGAGAGTGGAATGAGAGCATAACAGCGACGGCGCGTTGGGCGAGACGCGGAAGAAGAGGACGTAGATGATGAAGGCGGCGGAGAGGAGGAGGAGGATGGTTTTGGCGGTGGACAGAGTCGGGGTTTTGAGAAATCGCGGGGGCATTTTGGGACAGAGCGAAGAAATTCTGTAGTGGGAAAAACCGGTGTACTTGCGCTTCTTTTTCTGCAACATTGGAAACTGGAAACGAAGTGAAGATTAAAGAGATGAAGAAAATTAATGGAGCAGAAATCACCTGAATTGAAACGGTCGGTTTCTTGCATTGTTAACTGTTCTTACATTTGATCGGTTGTAGTAATTAATATGGGCTGGGCCATTGCCATTTTGGGCTTATTGATCTCAGAATTGGCTCTTTCGGATGGGCTTTTACAGTTTCGGGCTTATTTAGCTCATAATGGACTGGGCTGGGCTACGTTGAATCAAACATTGTCATTTTGCTCACGTGGCAAGAAAATTTACCGTAATTTATGTAGTTTCATTACACACATATGAATATTTTTCATAATTACTAATTAGATTTTCAGATTTAAATGAGAGTTCTTTTACCAATTTGTTCATCCCTTTATTCTGTTTTTTTCCGCTTCTGAGTAGACTAATTTCATTTAAGAAAGTTAAAATTGAGACGTTTGTTATAGGTTAAATTTTAAAAAATATATTTTCCAATCATTTTCTCCATTTTTCGTGGTGTGCCATCTCCATTTATTTTTTTCTTTTCCTTCGTATTTATAATTTTATTAATATTTTTTTAGTACAGTATATGAAGGTGGGAGATCGAACTTACACCCTCTTAGAGATATATTTACTGTTGAGATAGACTCGTTTTGACATATTTTATAGTCTTCGAGTTGTTGGTCTGCATCAACCACGTATTTTTCCTTCCTTCACAGCAGTACAAACCCAAGAAAATCAGTGACATTTGAACTATTTTTAAAAATATTTTGGGAATAATGCTATTTTCTTTTCTCAACCTCTTATTCTCAATATAAAATATCTACTTGGGGCAAAATGATAAATAAATGGTGGGTTTTGACTTCCAAAAAGCTACTACCAAACTTTTGTGTAAAATAAATTAAAATTTGACATTTGTGAAATTTGAGTCCATAGAAGAAGAAGACAGATGTAGGATTAAGAATGTAACACGACATCGTTTTGCCACGTGGACATACTACGTGGCAGGAATGTTGTTTAGTGTTATTTTAATCAAACCAAAACAACGACACACGGGCCACCAACATCATTTGGCCATATTCCACTCCATCCCAATCAAGCAAATAATTATAGTAATATATCAATACATTTCAATGCGAACACGTCACGAGCGTGTCACGTGGCTCTACCATAAATATTAAATTATAAAATAAATAAATGGAAGCTGAATAAATGTGTGGGCGAAACATATTTTCCGTCTCTTTGTTTCCCAGAAATTTCGAGGGTCCCACCAAAAGCCTTTTTTTTTTTGTGCAAAATAAGGCGAATCCACGTGTCGTCTAGCAAGGCACTTGGAAGTTTATGGAGGTCCCCTTCTACAACACTTTCATTTTTAGCCATAGAAATTCTGGATATTGTACACCGTCCAAAAGTAATTTTAAAAACTAATAATTCTATTTTAAAATTTTAAAATCTTAAATATCTATTTGGGGTTGGAATTCTCATGATCCAACTTCACGTAGAAGCTATTTATATTTATTTTTTAAAATAATGTTTTAACCAACGAGGAGATATTAATATATTTATGTAAGTATATTTATGGATTATTTGAAATTTTATCCAGATCAATGTTTTAACTGACGAGAGAGGTTATATAGTCATTTATCTTTTGTCTAAAAAAATATGTTTTGTTCTTTATCTTAAAACATAGAGTTTAATTTTTATAAATACTGAATTTGTTTGAAAACTTCATGTTAAATTACAAATTCGAGTATTGCATTTTCACGGTATACTTATTTAGTTTCTAGATTTTTTAAAATTTTTAACTAGACATTTGATAGATATGTATTATTCACATTATTATTTTAATATTGGTATGATATGTCAATGATATTATTAGTGATTATGTAGTCATGATACAACAATGTTATGCTAAAGGAATTAGTTTTTGGAACCATTCAACTGCCAATAGTTGAAATAAATGGTGGAAATTTATAATTTAACCTAAAATCTACTATATTTATATTTAATATTTAAAGTGTTGCTGCAGATTACAATGCATTTAAAAGGTGGATTTAAAGATAAATATTGGTAATGGACATTAAAGTTGAAAGAGAGAAAAAAATAATAACAAAATTGAAATGATTTGCTATGTAGATTAGGGTGAGAGGGTCTGCCTCTTCAATTATTGATTTGTTTTGTCACTTTTTTAATTTTTTGGTGTCTGAAATTTTTTATTTTGGCCCATTACATCACGTCTCCATGATGAAGTTCAAAAGTCCATTGAACTCGAAAAGAAACGACAATCAATCCACGATTCTCTCTTTTTTGTTTTAAGAAAAAAGAAAAAAACAAATATTTATTTATTTTTAAGTGCAACAAATTCCATATACAAGAGTTTGAATATTCGATCAAAAGAAAAAGATAAAGTAGATATCAATTATCATCCACCAATACTCAGGTTAAAAAGAAAGCAAATATTTATTAAAATAGGAAAATGACAAATATTTAGTTTAAGATAAATCATAGGTTTTATAATATTGTAAGCTTTGGACGTAGGTCTCACAGTTTTATCTTGTCTTATATATTCATAATCGTTCTCTCCTCTAGTTAATATGAAATTTACAAACCCAATAATGTCTATTTAATTTATATTCTTAGATTTTTATTTTTAATTTATTAGATTTATGTCGTTAATTTTATCTTCTTTTTTTTTACAATATTTTGGAGGTTGAATTTGAACTCACAACCTCATTAATTGAAGATATATGTATCGTCGAATTATGTTCATTTTAACAATTTAACGCTTACGTTAACCTGCTCATTAGAATATATTTTTAAGATACTATAAACAGTTGGATAAATATATACATATATGGTGGGTAGGTAGAGAAATATAATGAGATATTAAAAAAAATTAAAAGTGAGTAATTTAATGTTTTTGAAGATAAATATAAATAACGGAAATTACATGAGGGAATAGAGGCGCTTGCTTTTTTTTTGTCGTGGTTCATAAACCTTGTATTTATAAATAACTCGGTAGCCTCGAACTCTTTACCTTGTCATTCAAGCTTCCAAAAACGATGT